TAAATCTACAGCCTTTTTATGAAATTGGAAGCCAGTGTTGTAAAGAAAAGACATAATTTGTGTTAGCAGTTGTTGGGATGCCAAGGAGATGTGTAAAATACCTGACCAACCTTGTCAGAGCAATAGATTTATCTTTCACAGCAAGTTGAGAAACATTTTACAAGGTTATTTGCTTCCACCTACTGACCATTCCTGATATTACAGACAACAACTGAGGGAATGCTTCAGTCACTTCCAGTCTCATCTTTCCTCCTCCTGATACAGGCCATGAGACTAGTGTATATATGTATGGATTCTCTTTGCCTTTTAGATTGCATTACTTTCACATTAAAAAAAAGTGTTAGAAATGCAAATAACTTTTCTAAAGTTTCGTAGCCTGTACAGTTTGCCTATTTCATGTAGGGTTATGCTACCACCAATGATTGCTTTTACTTTCTAGACCTTTCATTTTACTTCTGTTCAGTAACATCTGTATAATGCTGGTATCGGAACAAGGTGATAGATACGTTTCCCAAGGGCGTGGCATATTATATTTCAAAATCCCTGAAACGTATGAATGATCAAACAGAGTACAATTGGGATGAAGAAAGGGAGCCTTCTCAAGAATGGGATGGGTATCATATCTGATGTAGTCCATACTATGCGCTTGCAGTAGATCTTGCGGTTGAGTTGTCTGAATCGTGAGTTGTCTCCAAATTAGCACTGAAAGAGTTGTACCTCTTGGTCTCCCTTTTCTGCCTGGTAAGCCATAGTGCTCAGTACAACCAGTTGGTCACTAAGGTGACTACGTTTCAGCAGGAACACTTAAAGGCTCCCTTTCAGAACCGTATTCCTGCACACACAGAGGTGAGCATAGTTTCACCATCTCAATTAATACAATTCTACTGCGAAATATATGTGGCAGTGTCACTTAATGGCACTTCGGTCAACACTTAAAAGTTACGTTTGTCCTGTGTTGCTCCTGATGTTCTGCATAAAATCTTGCTTTGTTTCCTTGTTGCTGCCACCCAACATAACAGATAAAAAGGCAATTTTCTTTTGTGTTCCCACATAAAAAAGTAGATATCTTAATATGTTGATAATAGTGTAATTGAATTGGCTGATATGCACTGACACCTAGAGAAATAAAGGAATTATGTTGGTTTTAAACTGAAATGGATGAGAGGGCTTTCTCCCTTAGTGGCAGGGCACGTCTATAATTCATTCTTTCCATCTTTCCCCTGAAACATTCTATGAAGTATTATACCATTATATAATTTTTCTAAAATAATAATTCTTCATGAGGAACAGAGTTTGCTTGGTTTTAACGTCTTTTTTTGTGATGTAACAATGTTAAAGAAATACCTGATGTATTGTTCAAATCTATAGGATTTTACACTTGCTTTACAGCAATGGTACTTCTTAATCTCAAATAATTCTTACAGTTGGGATATTTGCACTACACATACTAAAATGACAGTACTTTGTCATTTTGCACTTTAAAAACTAGCACAGATGTCTCCCAGAGAAGAACATTCTGATTTCTTCCCTTCTTCCTCTGAGCTTGACAGATGATTCATTTTGATAATTTTTTTCAAGTTGAGTTTCTGTGTACATTTTTTCTTTAAGAGAGGTATATCCAAGACTTAGATGATTTATATTCAAATATTTATATTTAAACACAGGTTTGATTGAGCCAGTAACTTCACTAGTTTAAAGAATTATAACACTAATTGTTTCAGAAAAATTCGTTTGTTTTCCTTAGGCAATGAAAGGTTAAGATACACGTGCACATCCCTAACAGGGAGCACTCATCACTCAGGCCGGCTCTGTCTGAGTGCAGGTGAGGTTGGGAACAAAGTAGTTGGCTGCTTTTCTTCCAAAGGCTTCATTGTAGGCTCTCTAGAGACATCAGATGTACAACAAGCAACTCTTGTAACTGTTACTGCTACTATTGTTTTTAATTATAAACGTATTGCAAATTACAGCTTATTATTTGGCTAATAAGTTTTCAAATTACTTGTTTTAGAAGAGACTCTTTGATTGTCTCCTATTATTTCTTCTCTACCTACTGTGTTTTTTTTACTGTTCACATTTTTAACTCCTTCCATCTGGTTTAACCCCTTTGAACTGAGGTTTCTTAAATACTGCTCAGGTCCTCTAGGTAACCTGTCAGTATCTTTAATTATACTTTATTAGAGTATATGCATTTGTGAGGATTTCACCAAGTGGTAAAGAACTTGAGCAGGGGAGTTGGACCAGATGATCTCTGTGGTCCCTTCCAACTCTAAAAATGCAGTGAAATTCAGTGAAACACCTCTTCAGGAAGTCAGGCCTTGTATGGTGTTAGATGTTAAATGGTTGTTACAGTCCAGATTGCTATCTGATAATGCACCCAAAACAAGTTTGTGAAAAACTATTTAGGCAATATTTTAAAATTAGTATTTGGAATACCAGAAACAATTAAATAGCAGTGAACCCTGATTTTTTTTTTTCCTTGTCGTTCTGCAGAAGTCCAAATTCAGTTCTCTACTCCTGAAGACATACAGCTTTTTCTTTACCCAAATCTAACTTTAGATAATTTCAAAGATAAGCCAATACCACTCTGTCTTGCTGGTTCCAATATCCAGTCAGGTTGAAACTATACACGTGTAGCTTTCATTGCTAATGGTGCAATGGTTAATTTGTAAGCTTCACTTTCCATCTCCTTAGATGAATACTGTGAGGTGAAATCATTGTCTAATGTTCAGGGATAAAACACAGAAGCAAAATTCTGTCCTTTGATATTCAGCCTGTATCTTTTCCTGTGGCTGGCATCAGTTGACTTCCAGGCACGTTGTCTCTTTAATTGCTGATTGCAGCATTGAGAGTCTCAGCTGGGTTGGCCTCAACTGTTTGTTTTCAGCTGGGCTGCATCCTTCATTTGTAGCTTTTGCCTTCCTGGTCGTAGACAGCCATGTAAGATGGGAGGAAGATGATTTTTGTTGTATTCAGGTAAAACTGCATTTTTAATTCACATGGGGTAATGAATGCTTATGAACTTAAGTTTCTTAAAAATTTTTTGGGAATGGGAAATGACAGTGGCAACATAGCAAACTAAAATCTTCTATAGGCAGCAGAAGGGCTCTGAGAACTGTTAGATCTTGAGCAAGGTATATTCATCATACTGAGAGTTTGTAATAGCTATGGCTGGAATCCAATAGGAGCTACTTTATTTTGCATTCAGTTAATTTAGGTCAGTGTGTGAGATAGAGCCACCCTTGTCCTTGGTAATATGAAAAGATATGATTCATTTTTGATTAACCAGTAAATATGTTAAAGAACATCCTATTATTTCCAAAAGGTGACTGAGGGCACAGCTGGCAGGTGAAGAGCACTGGTGCTAATAGAGTTTGAATTCATTCCTCTAAGGCAGAAAGCTTTTTAAAAGCTGAGCTTTTTTTCCTTGCTCACTCACCCCAAAAACCTGAATATAAGTATACAAACAAGCTCAGAAGTCAGCCTGTAGGCAGAGATAGGATTTCCTCATCCACCAAATGGGAGGAGAGTTATAGTGTGAGACTGTTCTGCCTACCAGTGACTCACACTTGGCAGACAGTTTTGGAGTGTTAGATTCCACAAAGTGCACTCTGGTTCCCATGAAAAGTATTTGGAACGGAAAGAGTATTTGAGGTGCTGATTCATGTATTAGTTTCATATAACTAACTAGAATAACAAAGATTTTTGTTGTTGGAAATACACTGCTTGAGAAGTGATGGAGATATCTCTGGAAATACACTGCTTGAGAAGTGATGGAGAACTTGATATGCCTAATGAAAACATCTTTAATATATCTTGCTGTGTGTGAAAGTATTTTTTTCAGGAAATCTTGATTCATCTTACTTGATTGAATTTTTTTTTTAATCTTTTATGTGTATATGGCCTAGGTAAGAAGTCTTTGGTATTGAAATGCTACCAGTCCTTTATTTAAAATGGATAAACATGGTGGTGAAGAAACATAAATTCTTTATTTAATATATTTTTTCATTTTTAATAGGAGTTGATATTTGTTATGAGCCTTAAATTAGTAATTTGGTATTTATGTAGCAAGTAACTAATCAGTAATCTAAAATCTGATGAGAGTAGTTCTAGCTTCAATTAAAAGTATGGGGAAGGACTTCTAGCAAAAAGTTGTCCCTTACCTGCATGTCCCTTTTTTTCCAATAGAAATCTCGAAAGTTGCAGTATGTAAGCAAAATTTGCTTCCAAGAACACCCTAACGAGAAAAGTAAAGTTGAAAACAAACAAAAAATCATAATAGGTCACTTGTCTACAGTTCAATGGCTTGAACTTTATTTGGCTTACTCAGTTTCCAATATTAACACCCTGTACATGTTCCTTTTAAGGTACTAAGATTATCTGTTTGATCCTGAAGAAAACATAAGTCCAAAAAACATAAGTCCAAAATATGTTTGTGTTTATACACTTAAATAAAATAGATGCTTGATTAATTTTGCATGTTGCAATGAGACTCGGACAGCAATGTCTTGAATATATCAAGGCCCAATTAGTGCTCCTGACAATGGGCAGAAGTTTGAGCAGTTGTTTCCTCTTAAGCTTACCTGTATATAGTTAACCTACCAGCACTAATTAAAGCCAAAAAAAAGAAAAAAAGGAGCGATCAAGCAATTATGTTTTCTTCAAGATGCAAGTAGAAGAAGCAAAGATATACTTTAAAGCAGAGATCCTATTTTTTTTCTTATGAGCTGGCTACACTATATTGAAATAGGTTTGGTTTTTTATGATGTTTCTATCCTGTTTTTAAGTTTATGCTTGTAATAAAGTTTCGTAAACCTTGCTTAAATCCATAATACTGAACATTGTGCATTTAAATATAAAACATATACAGAAATAACAGTCCAGTAAAGTATAATAGGAGAAACCCACTTTTGAGATTGTGTGAATAACTCAGGATGAATAAAGGGCATCACAACTGCAGTCAGTGTGCTTTGTGACATCATCTTCCCTCTTTGTCTTTTCAGGATACTAAAGCCGAGTGCAGTTCCTGTGTAGAAACTGAGGACAGAAAAGTAAGTGCCTTTTTTTAATGCAATTTGTCAGGCAGCTCTAGTAAGTGGGGAGGAGGTTGTTTGGTTGATATTTTTATTTTAATTAAACCACGTGAAATTTTTTGATGGTGTTTTATGTGTCTAAGTTTTATGAAGTTTTCTAATGTTGTATTTTAACTTCGATGGGGACAAAATAGTCTTACTCTATTGAATATACTTCTGATAGAAATTTGAATAACAACAGCTTGTTCAGAAGGGAATTATAATCTCCGTTTCATTTAACTATGAACTATTTAAAAGACAATTACATATCCTGTTCCTAATTTCCATCATTAACAAAATTATTGTCGTGTCTTTCATGATAATGTTGGCATACCATGTTAAATATTTGTAAAACAGCAAGATAAGGACTGCTTTTTCTTGCTTTGTAAGCAGTATCTTTCATACAATTTTTTTTTTTTCCCTTCTTAATGGCTGATGTTTAAAAGAGGTTTTTCTTGCATCATTTCCAGTTTTGTTTTCTGTGAATGAGTATAAAATATGTTTTCAGTTGTGTTCTTCACCACCTTAGGTTTTTTTTTTTTACACAGTACACTATGGCATGTATGTTTGAATATACTTGAATAAAGTTACATTTTTAGAAGGAATTTTTAAATTGAAGTACTATCAACTTCCACTCTAAAATGAGCAATGCAGAAATCGCCTTCTAGACTAACAGGATCATACTCAATTTATGTTTTGAAACAGTAGATCTTTATGCTTAATTTGGCATTAATTTAACTGTGCTATAATGTGTGATACAATACCAACTTCCCAGAAGCTTTTTGGTGCTGGTCTTTTTTCACTTCTTTAGGCTACTGAATCATCTTGTGAGCGTTCAGCAGCTCCTCCTTTTTTAAAAAACAGTTTTTGAGTTCTTTTTGCTATAAAAATGAGGTTTTATTAAACAGCACTATCCCAAAAGTACTTCAGTTGTTCATGATAGCTCTTTTATGAACTTTTTTATAAAACAATGTCATACAAGATTGTTGAGGTTAGTGCAGGAAAGCACAGCTCATTTGTTGAGATACGTGATAAAGGTTCTTCAGTATTTCGGTGATTTTCAACATTTTGAGGAATGAAGGGAGGGAATTATTTTGAGCAGAAACATACTGAGAATTGAGTTCAGATACTAAACTGTGAAGGTAACTGGAAGAGAAAATGTGCTCTGTCTTAGACACGGAGCAGCTGTTACTACTCTCTGATTGTTGTCATCCTCTATACTAAGACAGGTTTAATTTCTTGCATTTAAATTAAGTCAGCACTGAATGTTTTACTCTGATGTGTATCAGTATGATAGAACTGGCTTATTGCAGGACAATATGCAAATAAAGTAGAATTTTATTTTTTTTTTTTTTAAATTTAGAAACCATGTCAGCTTTATCACAGGGCTCAAAAATACTATAATAATGTTTAACAACGCTTTGTGTTAGTAAAGGACTACAAAATTCATGTCAACAGTAGCTTTGCTGTATTGTTTGGAGAGTTGAAACATAACATTTCTGTTCCTGAATTTAAGGAATTATCCTTGTTATTTACACTCCTAATGCTTTTTCAGTTCTCCAGGAGGTTTAGGGGTTTTGTTGTTGTTAAAAGCATTTTAACAAACTAAGGCATTCTTACGTCGCTGCTTTTCTCTGTTACTGACTTCATGCCTTCCATCAACCCTGTTCTCCTACATTAATAGCTCCTATTTTAATTTTTTGTATAATGATCAGATTCTCCTACTTTCTATTTCTTCCTTGTCTAGGCTACATTAAGTTTGAACTAGTCACAGATTATGCTTCCTCATTTCTTGTGCAGTTCCTTTTTTTTCCTCAAGCATTTTGCAGATGCATAGTGAGCTGAATCAAAATTAGCCAGGTTAATGTGTTCATGGTGAAATCTAACCCAGAAACAAAGGCAAACAAACTCAATTTAAAAAAATTGTCAGAAATAAATATCAATCCAATTCTAAAGTATTTTCTCACTAGAGACTGGGCTGTTCTTTTATGAATATATTTCTACTGAAATCTTAAAATTTGGAGCTAGAATCCAGTTCTGGATTACTAAATCTGTGTAGTGTATGTCTGTGTTAAGTAGTAACTGCCTTTGTGAAAGTGGAGAGCACATGTCATAATTTTAAATCTCTAACATCAGGTGATACTCATTACTGTGAAACTCAGGCCATTTAGGCCTCAGGTTCTGAGCATTAGCTTTGATGAGACTATCTAGGTGTTTAAATTACATACATGTTGTTTTATAGTATGCTAAAATGCAATTTGGGACTTTATTTCTAAATACCAAAATGTGACTTTTGGTATGGGTTGCAGATACTAAAACTGCACAACCAAAAGGTTCTTTTTTTTGCTTGAGTAATGGGAGAAGTTGTCAAGAGCCTACTAAGCTTTAGAGTGCAGTCTTATTAACGAATGTACTGTATTTCTTTTATTGTGACTTTCCTTTTATCTAGCAGGTGTGTCAGCCTGTTGCCAGTAAACTGCTGGGGTTTTTTTTTTTTCATTGTTTTAAGACAGGATGGTTTCTGCCTCAGTGTAAATTACAGGTGCTGTGTATCTGGTACTTTTCTTGGCCTCAGTGATTGCTCTGAGTTTGGGTGGTTTCTTAAGGAGTTATCTTTCTTCAGTGACTCAAGCTGTCAAGACCAACCCAGCTGTGTGACCCCAGAACGGGGCACCTTCTCCAAGGCAGAGTACGTGATCTGACTCTTTCTGAGACTGCCTGGGCCCTAGGACTGAGCAAGTGAAGTGACATGAAAGAGCATGAGATTCCCCCGTTATCCGATGCTTTATTACTTGGCTGGCCTGTTTGCTCACTTCACCCTCTCTCCTTGCTCTTAGAAGCAGTTGCATGGAGGGGACGTGACAGTCGCAGGGTCTCCAAACTTACTGTGAAACCTGGAGAGTCTCCCTCTTAATGTATCATTGAGTTTGAAGAGCCTGGAGATCTGGAGGTTCTCAACATTGCAGTGCTGAGTGCTATGAATTTCTCATCCTTTTGACTGTAGCTCCTGATGCCTGCAGACACGTGCCTTCAGGTCTGCAGACTCTCCTGTGATCTTCCCTCACTAATCACTGAAGTGGTAACAACAGACAAGAGGTTTGCTAGGGTTTGGGTTAGGGTTTGTTTTTTGACTTGCTAAAAGTATGATTTTTATCCAACAGCAATGACAATCTGTTTAGTGCTCTAGCTTTCAAGTGCAGAAACTACAATTAACAGAAAGAATTGTCTACCAACCCCTGAATTTGTCTTCATAATTACGTTAATTTGTTGAAGCCTTTTGAAAGAAGAGAAATTTAATAAATACTTAATGTTATTACATGATAGATTTCATCTTTTCTCTGTGTTTGGCCCTAAAGCTAAAGTTTCTGCTGACCTTAAGTGGCAGGTTTACTTTACAGTCCAGGGATTTAGGTTACTGGTGACCTATGCAGTGATCATCAAATAAAGATCCATCAGTCTTGGTTAATAATAATGCATTGGTTCATGCTTTTTGAAAGCGCAAGTTTGGAATTTAATGTAATTCATAGAACCTGAAACATTGTAAATAATTTTTGCTATTCCACATTGAAATCAAGACAAACTACTGCAATTAGGGTGTGCATCAGTACTGTCTAATAATTTGCACTTCCATAATGAAATATACTACTAATGAAGTATATAATTAGTAATTAATGGAAAATTTTCTCAGTTAACAACAAAATATAAAGCTACAAGGTGTCTTTTTCTTGCAGTCTTTTTTCCTGAAGTTTCTTAATCTCTAACTTCTGAAGTAGAAATTTATGAAACATTGGTTAAAGCATTGCCTGAAGGCAAACTCAAAGTTAATAACCGTAATTATTATTTTGTACTCTATTCAGTAAATGACAAAATAGCATTTAATTATTCTAACCACTTTATGACTATGATCTGTGTCTCCTTCTGTTGTTCAACTGACCTTTTTATGTAAGATCCTACTAATATTTTCTGCAAGGATAAAAGCCCTCGGGTTTGAGAATAACAAGGGCCAAGTGTAATCAAGAGTCTGCTCTAACTGGCCTGTATTATTGCGCGTTACTAAACGGCATTCACCACTGCCGGCAGTGGACCCATAAGTGTACATAGGACTCATTTCCTACTTAATTGGTGTTCTTTTTTGTGTTTGTCTCACCCAGCCCTTTTTTGTTTTAATCTCCTACCTTCGTTCTGAATGTCACAATATTTGATGTTTAATGAATCATGTGATCATGGATGCATCTCAGCTTTGCTTTTCAAAGAAACATATGAAGAAGCATGAACCTTAAATTTTCACAGAAAGAAATCTCTTAAAAAATTACTAATTGTTATTTTTATAAAAAATCCATTGATTGGTGAATCTAGTCACATGGTGTTTTGAAATTTGAGTCACAATTTCAAAGCCTGTGATAGTTTTCAGCATGAGGTTTTGCTCTTCCAAGGGCAAGACAGTTGTTTGGTTTTTTCTATGCGTGTTTTCTAATATAACTCCATGTTTTGGGGCAAACAAAATGGTTGAGGTCGAAGGGAGTTAATAAGGATATCGGCCATTTTGCCAAGAGGGCGACCATGTGCATTCCTTTACAATCTTTTCTTCTATTTGGTATAACCAAACCCTAGTCTTGGTCTCCACTTAAAAAAAACCAACCAAACCTGCTAGTAAGTAAGGCCTTCTTCCTATTCCTCTGCCCACTTTTTCATCAGCTTCATTGCCTCCCATTACCTGAAATTCCTGCCCCTAATAAATATTCCTCATGTTTTATTTAATATCGGTTCACATTTTTATCTGGTTTTAACAATTCTTTTTCCCCCGATATATTTAAATGGCACTTATATAGAACAGAAATCTTCAAAAATATATTTAAAAAAAAAAATAAAATTGTCCTGCTTTGTCATTGAGGTCTGAAGAGAGCACAAAGAAGATACTTTCTTTTACTCTGCAATTGCTCTGCTTCTGTCACCAAATTGATTCATTGGCAATGCTGTGA